GGGGACAGAACATTCCAGGCTATCACTTCACTTGGGGTGTTATGAAGTCCTCACTTGGTCCTTATAGCTTGTTCCTCCTTTACCCAAAGCAGTTTACTTACTGGGAGCAAAGATTCTTTGGCAGCTTTGTCTGCTTTTGAAGAAAGAAGGGTCATTTTAAATACTCTGCTCCCCGCATTGAACCCTTCTGCTCCTGGGATTTAGTATAAAGCTACTACAACTGTGCCATGCAGAATAATGTACAGAAGAAGAACAATGGTAGGAAATGTTAAGGTACTTGGGGTAATGAACACAATACTCTGGGAAGCAAAGACACTGAAAATACTTATAATGAAGAAGAAAACACCAAACAGCAAACTAAGAATCAAAGACCTTATAAAACCAGAAAATAAAGAATGTTCTCATAAAGATCCTTACCTATAGGAAAGAAAAACTCCTCCCTTCCTCCTTCCATCCGTCCCTCCCTCCCTCCCCCCCCCCCCCTCCCTCCCTCCCTCCCTCCCTCCCTCCCATCCCTCTTTCTGATGCTGTATAGCCTGGTTGGCCTGGAACTCACTTTGTAGACTAGGCTACCCTTGAACACAGAGAAATTGGCTTGTCTCTGCCTTCTAAGTGTTGAGACTAAAGGTTTGTACCACCATGTGCAGCTATGTATCTATTCTTAAACAACAAAGACACTGAGTATACAATAATTAAATGTAATTATTTTGCACACAATTCCCCCCAAATAAGTTTCTATAACAAACAAACTTTCAAGACTCAAATGAATTCAATATGATAAATGACAAATCAGTCTGGAGACAATAGAATTACCAGCTTGTTTTTAAGTCAGAAAGATAGAGCAGGTCATACAAAATCACTACATTAAAATGATTCTCTAAAGAAAAAAGTTCCAGGAAGGACAACAATAAATTAATCACTCAAATAGGAGTAGATAATCTTTCTCAAAAAGTACAAAAGGAAGGCATATTTTTAACGTTGATGGTCCCAAGAGGTCACAGTTTTGTAGTCACAGACCCTTAGGTGTGCAGTGGACTAAAGGCCTTTCCTGATGAGCTTGCACATTCTTAGATGGGTTAAGCTGCCATGTTAGGCTAGCCTTCATAATAAGGGAATGAAGACAATCCTAAGCCATCAGCAAACAAGGAACTAAGCCTCCACTCTAGTAGTCTACAAGGAACTGAATCTTGACACAACCATCTGAGTGTGGATACAGATCTTTCCCTAGTTGAGCTTTGAGACAACTACAGTTCGGCCAAGACTCTTCAAGTAGAAGATGCAGATGAGCTGTGTCCTAATTTTTTGAGCCACAGAAACTTTAAAATATGTATTATTTTAATCTACTTAATTTAGAGGCAGTTTGTTAGTTACTAGGTAAGGGAATACTAACAGAGACAGACAATAAGTATTTCAAGCTTTGTAATCTATAGGGTCTTTGTGATCACTATTCAACTCTGTTGCTATTGCAAAAAGCTGTAAGAGAAAATATACTATAGAACAAGCATGTCTGTTTTAATAAAATTTTACTGATGGACACAAATTTAAATTTTGCATCATGAATTTTACTTTCAAGCAATGCAAAAAACATTCTTAGTTCCTAACTCTCTACCTCTCCCAAACAAAAACAAACTAAAGAAACAAAACAAATAGGCAAGCAGAATAAACCTTGCCTGCAAAGTGCAGTTAGCTGACTGTTACTAAGCAGCACTAACTGGAGTTCTTCTTGTACAGCCATCTCTTGGTTTTGGTTCCAGAACGCAGGTATACAAAAATCTGAAGACACCAAGTTCTTTATATAAAACGATGTGGACATGGTGCGTGCATAGCACCCATGTACATTCTCCCATATACTTAAAACTCCTCCAAGTTATTTCTGATACCTGATACAATATAAATGGCTGTGTGAACAGCTATTACATTGTATTGTTTAGGGGATAACTATAAGAAAGATCTGAACTTGTTCACTACTGATGTATCAATTCTAGATCTAACTACATATAAATGAACGAGATCTGGAGTGGGAAATGCTCAAGAAATGAGAACTAGAGACTGAGGACTTGTGAAAGGCCCGAGGCTGAAGCAGAAACTACATATTCCTTGTGTTCATGGAGGTTCAGCATGGTACTCTGTAATGCATTAAACTCAAATTTTGCTTTTTGGTACTTCTAAAATGCATTTTGTTCTATATCTTGATCTACTGTTAGTACAAGAATGTGGAACCTGCAGATATTAAGAACTGAATAGACTTTTGATAAAACATAGCCCTAGACTTAGAAAATCAGACCTATAACAATGTAATGTAACATTAATATAGCATACTTTCCTGAGAAAAGAATGAAACGGCAAATAAATACCTCATGGCAAATGTATTACTCCATTTCAAAGGCAGAGAAAAGTAGACAAAGAAAAGAAAATTGTCAAGAGATGATGGGAGAGCAAGAGATAAACATTTACATCTTGATTCTCAGGTAAGAAAATATTCATTTATCATAGTTTTCAAAGCTTCAGTACTGTAATATCAGATAAAAGAACTGACTCTCTTGATGGGACAGTAGTTTCCTGTTCTGCAGTAAAGAAATGCTCAAAAAGATAAAGTTCTACACAGAGAGAAAGCTAGTGAGAAGACAAATAAGAAAGAAAAGTCCTATATATATATACATACATACATACATACATACATGGGTAAAGATAAGAAACAGGTATACAAAAAGCTAAACAGAAACCTTTCAATTATAAATTAACAAGTTAACATCTGTCTAAAATGGTACCAAGATATGAGGAATCTGAAGTAATTTCTTATGAATAGTCAACAGAATTGAAATGGTTTACCCTATAAAAAACTGTCTTCAAATACCTGCAGCAATGTTGTTGCTAGTGGTTGGGACTCTGGGCCAGGTGATTCCAGATTCTTAGACTCTAATTCAAAGATTTGAAATAAAGACTCACACAGATCACAAAGGCAGCAAGGAAACCATATTCAAAGCCAAGCTATAGAACAGGTCAGATCGCAGCACAGGGGAACAGCAGGCCACAATAGTGAAGATACACAAGAGCCCTGATTACTGTTTGGGGATTCCTTTTTAAAATAGTTTTGTCTTTATTTTACATATTGACCACAGTTTTCCCTTCCCTCCTCTCCTCTTGCTCCTTCCCCGACTCCCAACTACACCTCCCTCCATCCACTTACTCCTCCTCTGTCTCCATTCACAAAGGAGCAGGCTTCCCATGGGCTTGAACAGAGTATGGCACATCAAATTGAGGTATGACTGTGCCCCTCCCCTGTACAAAGGCTGGGCAAGGAAATCCAGCATGCGGAACAGGTTCCCAGCTTAGCACCAGGGACTTACTGCTAGGAGCATTACAAACAGATTTCTTGATGGTGTTCAAGACATTAAGGGCAACATTGAATAAATGGGACCTACTAAAGCTGAGAAGCTTCTGTAAAGCAAAGGACACTGTCACTAAGACAAAAAGGCAACCTACTGACTGGAAGAAGATCTTCACCAACCCCGCAACAGACAAAGGTCTGATCTCCAAAATATATAGAGAACTCAAGAAACTAGACT